TATATATATTATCATAAGCCCAACAATGAAATAATGTGAATATTAATGGATCTGGTAGCTTTGTACTCTACTGATATCATGTAATCAACTCTCGTGTTTTCAATATACTAATTTCTCTTATTTTAAACGAAAAATAAATTATTCCCAAGGTGTGATCTGAGGTCCGTTTCAATAAAAACTTGATTAGATACCGTAACTGTGCTCTTTTGTTTTATAGCTTCGTTTCTGGTATAATGTTCTTAATGATGATTACAAAGTACATATATACATAAGGACTAGTTACAACGATGATGGTTATCAACATGTTGGTACTTTTGAAGATGATATTCACAATTACTGGCATAGAGCGGAAATAGAAGTCACTAGTGACAGTAAAGTTTACCAGGTTAGTAATTTTTCTCATCATCAGCATCATTAATTTCTGTCAAATAAAATATATATTAATTAGCATGCTAATGATAAATATTAAAATTAATAAAAAATATGTAAATAATAAATATATATTAATAAGTCCAGTCACATAATCTAGTGCAAAGTGCCACGAATAAAGATCTTTTTAGCTTTTTATAAGGCCAAAAACGTTACAAATAAAGTATGACCGGTAAAATAAAATAGTTCGAAAGCGCGACGACTAGAAATCTCTTCAGCAGTAAATAGACTGAAAACTTTACAAATGGAGTATAGCCGGTCACTCAATCTGGTGCAAAAGCACCACCTCCATAGATCTCTTTTTTAACTGTAAAGTTAATTAGAAACGTTACAAACTAAGTCCAGGCACATATTCTAGTGCCAAAGTGGCACGATAGATCACTCTTCCCTTGATATTGACCGAAATAGTTAAGAACGGACTTGGTCCACTCATAGTCTGAAAAGGAAAATAAACAGTGCTCAAAAGCTTTAGTATCTTCTTTGGAAGAGGGAACAATTTCAGTTTTTTTTTTCAAACAAGAGGTTTCAATTCTGAATTGATTAAAAACATAAGAAAGTTGTTCAAATTTTTATAGAAAAATCTCAGATATAAAAATCAATATTTTTAGAGTTATCAAAATTAAAATATTCAGTTTGAAATGCAAGATTTTAGTTTGAAACTTTTTGACTTACTATGTTTCTAAAATCAATGATTTTGGATCATTTTTAAGCTGTTTTGATGAAAATGGCACAGACGTACTATGTTTTTAGAGTTTCTAAAAAAATTAAGTTATTATAAAAATAGTGCAAGGTCCTCTAAATACAAGGTACCCATTAAAATCTAGAACAAGCTTCTTAAATTTATAACGGCTTCAATTCCAGCTTATAAAAGTGTTGTCCAAGTGAAATATAGTGACTATACGCAGTTGGATAAGATACTTTTTCCTGATTTAGTGTAAATAGACACGTTAATAGACACTTGGCTTCTATTATGATGTTTAGTCTATTATGATGTTTAGTCACTAAATCTATCACGTTCCACAACTTTGTTATTCTTTTTTTCCAATACCTGCATTATTTTCGAGACAGAACACTAACTCCTCAATGTTTCACCGGAGATAGGGAAACGTATGAGCAATCACGTAGCCACTTTTCTATACATAGATGCCACTTATAAAGCTCTATATGAAGTAATTGAAACGTTTTGAAAGAGGAACCCAAACTTTTTCGGTTATCCTGTATAGTTCATTTCATTTAAAAACAGAACCAATTTGTTTAATCTGAGATTTCGACACGACATAATTTAATACTTTAATGAAATCTATTATACATTTTATAAGTACATATTCTTCTTATAAATAGGGGTATATGTAATTTTTAATAGTTTTCAACTTGTAACAAATCTACAAATTTTTGCATTGTGAAAAATAATTATTCCGATATTTTAAATAACATTTTAAAGAATCTAACAAACCCATACCCCACAACATTTGAGGCTAATTTAAATATTTTTTTCATTGATATTAAAATGAGGCAGAATTTTTTTTTTAAAAATTGGGTTTTTGCATTAGAGAGAACTTACGAATACAATTATATGCTTATCTGACATTTGATATATCTGTTATTATTATTTATATATAATAGTGAAAAAAAATTTTATTTTTATTTATGAAAATATTAAATTTTTTTTCATAAAAATATTAATTTTTGCTATCATTTAGAAAAATATTTTCTGAAACTACGGAAATTCCGTAGTAATCTGAATGTATGCAAATGCATTTATATATGCATCATGAGATAACCTAGCTGTCATTTGCAATTTTTGATGAATTTTTCCAGTTAAATTGTAATTACATTGGTAATTGTAATTACATGTGGAATATTGTAATTACGTTGATAATTGTGAGCAAATGTGTTTTTGAGTTATATCGGTAAAAAAACGAGTTTATTTAATTAAATATGAAATCATAAATTCCACCAGTTAAAATATTAAAAAAAAGCATTCTCCCTCTTAATCTAGAAAGTTGGCAGTTGTAATTCAGTTATAAGCATATATCAAACGCATGAATATTGTTTCGAATTTGTATTGGACTTCATATTATTCTTAGTGAATCGGTGTGTTGTATTTATAGATTGTACTAGAGGCTGATTTGCATGGTGAAAGTGGTAGCGTAAATGTCGATGATATTTCATTAACTCCAGGATGTCATCTTTCAAGTATATTCTCTTTTTTCTTACTTGAATTTTATTTCTTTATTCGTTAGTCCTGTATAAGACATGGTAATTCGAAATGAATATAGCGATTACAAACAGCTATAACTATTTAATGTAAAATAATTATTGATAAGATTAACATAGAATTTAGATGGGACCCCAAAATTTCCTTACGTAAGGCGCAGGCGCAGTGAAGCGGTATCCTGCCCATGCGCAAGTTCATAAGTGAAAATGGCGAGTCCCGTGCCGAAATCATTCTGCGTGTTAGAACTTAACAGTTATCATTCTGTTATCACAGTGTACATAAGATTTCGTCAGCGTCATTATCAAGAACCTCCATATGGGAACAACATATGCAGATGGCATATGGTGTTTGAAGAAACGGGATGGAAGGCCACTTGTTTCAGCGGAAAACATTGAAAGAATTCGCCACACGCATAAGCAAAGCCCACGAAAATCGACGTACAAGCGGTAGGGAGTTACAAATGCCACAAACAACGGTATGGCGTGTTCTCAGTCAGAAGCTGCAATTGAAACCATACAGAATTCAACTTGTGAAACAATTGAGACAGGAAGACTACGGCAAACGTATGAATACCGCTACGTTCATGTTGGAATGCATGGAGGATGAAACAATGGCTGATCGTGTCATTTTTAGCGATGAAGCAACCTTCAACATAAGAGGGGCGGTTAACCGTTACAGCAGTCGAATATTGGTTACGGCGAAGCCTTCCTCTGTAATTGAACATGAGCGTGACTCAGCGAAAGTTAATGTGTTCTGCACTATCTCATCGCGTAAATTGTACGGTTCCTTTTGATTTGTGAGCGAAGTGTTACGTCAAAGGTTTATCTTGACATGATTGAGGTATGATTAATGCCACAGCTAGATACTGATTCTACGAACTACACCTTGCAACAAAATTGAGCACCCTCACACTGGGGTACGATGGTTTGCCCATTTTTAAATAAACATCTTCGAATCCGTTGGATTGGTCGAAGTGGGATGCCGACTATGACTTCTGCTTTTGGTCACCGAGATCTCCGGTCTTTACACCTGTTCTATCTATAGGGTTATGGGAAAGAATATATGAAGAACTCAAACATTTGAAGAACTGAAAGAACGCATTTGTAATGCGTTTGCGTCGGAGACTGCACAAATGCTTCAGAATGTATGGCGTGAAATAGACTACCACCTAGATGTCGTCCGTGTGACCAAAGGAAATCACATAGAATATCTGTGACGCAGGCATACAAATTTTTGAAGTTCCTTCTACATTTTGTTTGAATTTCATCAATAAATTATTTTTCATTAAATCGTTATAGCAGTTTGTAATCGCTATATTTATTTTGAATTACTGTTATCGATGCAAAAGTTCGCAAATACACTGAAAAAAAATACGTTGCTAGACATAGTCTTAAAATTATTAATTCATTACAGGCAAGATTTAACAAAATCATAAGTGTTCTCTGGAGGTGACTGCTGGCTTTGGGGTAATCACCAATGTACAGAGCGCAAAAGCAAAACGGACCACTCCTAATAACTTTCGATCGCGTTCTAAAACTCAGTCCTAATGGTTCAAGGGGGTGACCTCAACTATGATAATATATAGGCAGACGATTTTTAAAAATACATAATCAGACGAAAAAACCAATTTTCTCTGAATAAACATCCCATTTTGGACGAATTCATATTTCTGAACCCCAAAATGTAGAGGTTAGCCTCAGTCAGGGAAATATGGGTCCCATTGTTTGGTCAGGAGAGCGATACAAAGTTTGGACCCCTTAATGTTACTTTTTGCGTATTCTACCCTATTTGAGAACTCTTTAAGTCAACTGATGATTTCTTTACACACAGTTGTAAAATTTGTTTATCCAAATATAATTTCATACAAAAATGAACTTTCAGTAAATAATTATTTCTTCATTATTTTATTTAAAAATGGTCGAAAAAATTTGAATTGTAAGGTGTGCATTTTTTTCGTCCGTTTAAAATATATAATTTTACATGGCAAAGTACAAAATTTAAGTGATATAGATGGAATAGTTCCAGAGAAATCGAATTTTAAAATGTATATTAAAAATTCGATTTTTTTTTCGATTCGCAGAGGTTGTTACAAGGTTGTAAATTAAACACAAGATTCTCCCACTGATTACGTTTGCCTGATTAACCATTTCGGATGTACCAGTAAAGTGCTAATACTGATGCTTTCACAGCAGATTGCTGCCTAGTAGTTGGAATTTTAGTGGCATAAGGTGTGCTTAAAGTGAATATTTATCTTTGAATGCTTGCTGCATATGGCAAACGCCCTCTAGGGCAAATGACTATGGGAAAGTGGTATAAAAATTTTCATTAACGATGTACGTGCACCAATGTCGATACGTCAAAGCTCCGAGAAAGGAAACATCATAATCTCCATCAATGTTTTTCTGTGATTGATTATAAGAGGTAATCAAGTTAATGATTCGTGACATCTATGCAGTACTTTGTCTATAGCACATATGTCACGAATCATAAACTTTGTACTTCCCTCTGTCACTAAAATTCGTGCTCCTTAGCATAGCTATTGTTTCGTATCTCTGACACCATCCCAACTGTGCGCTTTTCAACCGGGCAATCCATAAATTTATTTGTTTTTACTATTCTTATTTAAATTGTATTCGGCACTGTGACCACTTCCTTAACGTCACAGTTTAAGAACTTATGATCTAACTAGTTTTTGTTACAAAGACTTATGTGAATATCAGTTGTCAGATAGAATTTTGTAATCGAAAGATAGCTTGTGGACTTCAGGGTAGAATATCTGTGTTTAAAAAAGACACTATACATTTTTCATTATCTGAATTCGCACAACTGTTTTATTTCTTAAAAATACCCATCATTAAAATGGAAAGTAATTACATTATATTAACAATTATTTATTAAATTAAATTTTTTTTGTCCAAAAAATCATTTCTAATTTTTCCTAGATGAAAATATTCCTGGGAAACCAACTGAGCCACCACCAACTGATGATTGCACTCCTGAAAAACTTCCTTGTCGAAATGGACAATGCTATTCGTATTTGCAGCGTTGCAATTTCATTTTAGACTGTGACGATGGAACAGATGAAGACAACTGTGGTAGATTCATTTGGAATATGTAGTTTAACATAATTCAGTTTTTTTTAAGAAATTTTCAGTATCATGCACATTGCTACCAACTTTTACGTGATTTGAAGGATGGTTTTACTACTGAGAGAATTCTTCGATATGACATGTTTGGCAACTGTGAGGATTGCTACGATTTGAAACTGAATTGTAGCAAAGGTTTCTCTAGGCTACTAAACAATTTTGAATTTAGATTCCACTTCAGCATTACAAAAACGCATCCTAAGTTTTTAAGGCCCATATGTATTTCCTTTAAATTAAAAATGAACTGCCGATATGCGAATAACTTAAAACATTACATTTTTCCTCATTTTAATACCAATTAAAAACAAAATTCTTATCGTAGACACCTTAGCTATATATAGCTTAAAAAGACAGAAAATAACTTCAAATCAACGGGAGGAGAATAAAAAACGCTTCTCCTGGACCACTCGCTCTGAGTACAGCAAAATAGCTTCAGGACAACGGGAGGAGAATAAAAAACGCTTCTCCTGGACCTCTCGCTCTGAGTACAGCAAAATAGCTTCAGGACAACGGGAGGAGAATTAAAAACGCTTCTCCTGGACTACTCGCTCTGAGTACAGCAAAATAACTTCAGGACAACGGGAGGAGAATAAAAAACGCTTCTCCTGGACCACTCGCTCTGAGTTTATGCAAGAATACCGAATTGAAGTCACGTCCGTGTGATATGAGGCAGCTAAAGTCAGAAAAGATCGGTTCATATATGATTACATATAATTTCATTGTCCTGAAGGTGTTAAGAGTCTCATGCTGAGAAAAAAGGAACTAGTGACATTAAATAGCCCTGAGCATAGTAAATGCTTAAATTATTAAAACACCGTGGTTATCAAAATTATTTTCAATCAATTTTATTAACCGAAAAGCTACCTTAAAAAATTTTGCTTCCTGTAGAGAAAAATTGCTTTGCAGCAGTTTCTTTTTCCAAAGTCACTTTTCACATCATTGATTTTATTTATTTATTTATTTAGTTAAGTATTCAACGTTTTGCGAAAACTTCAATTTGTTTTAACTGCCAGCCACTGTTAATTGTGGTTTGTTTTGTAATAAGAGTGATAGTTGCAATTGCAATTTTATAGCACATGTAGGATATGCAACCTGTAAAATTAGTATATTGTTGTCGTATGCCATTAAGGCAAAGGGGGTACGCTTTTTCTTGTTTTCTCGTGGTGCTATCAATGGCTAAGAATTTGACTTCTACCCCACGAATACATCTCAATTCAACGTTTTTAGGGCGTCCCCGCTCATACATCCACAGTTTTCAATTTTGACCTGAACCAGAGAATGATCAATCTCTAATTCAGTACTCCCAGAGGTATGATAAGAAAACGTTTGTCTTTACTAAATGACTAGTATAAACAGTATTAAGTCAAGTATATTAAAAAATAGTAGTGCAGTGGTATTAGTTTTATTATTAATTCAATGGATGAAAAAATATCACTTTAATCATGTTTTCCTTTTTTCATCGCTCAACTGTTAATTATGTTATAGTTTACTTCTATTTTATTTTACTCTCGCAGGAAATTCTTGTGATTTTGAAAATGGAACATGTGGATGGTACAATCCATACGGCTATAGATCTAAGTGGGTTGTAAAATCTGGAAAAATTAACCCTTTAAGAAGTTTAGAAAACGATCACACGACTGGTACCAGTAAAGGTAAGAAACAGAGCATTTTACACGTCCAATAAAAAATTGCCATATCCTTTGAAAAGCTATTTTTGTTTTGTTAAGTATAAGAGTTATCAAATGAAATTTTAGTCACGTGAGAAAACTTAAGAAATACTGTAGCAATAGCAACGCTCTCATTCATGCTTATAAAAGAAGATGAAATGCACTGAAGATTGTGTAACTGATGAACCAGTGCGCATCGGAGCATTTAAAGTGCGTGTAGAGTCCGACTAAAGAGGAATGCGCCCAAAACGGGAAAACACCGAGAAGTAAAATTTTTAGAAGAAACAGTTCACCACTGTTTTCAGTGGGGTCTGATTTTCTCGCAATTAATTAAAAGAATTGGAGATCAAAAATAAATCGGAAGTCATCATGGAGAAATCTTCAGAGGAAGACATTAGCTCACATTGGGCTGCCTGGCCAACTATGATGATGATGATGGATTTACATACATTTGCAGGCTTGTCTGCTTAATTTTGGCTTATAACCCTTTGTCAAATAGAAGGACAGATAGCACAATACAGAGAAAGACAGTAAAAAGATAAATACAGGGTAACCGCGGGATTCGACCCACGCTTTGCACAGCGCTTGGCGGGAAGGCGATACCGGTCGGTCAGGGAGGCCCTGTCAACTTATTATTTTTGTACAACCTTTACATATTTTGTTGTTGTTGGTTTTATCTTGGTAATTATTATTTTAAATTTTTATTCTAATTTTTTTCGACATCTTTAGGTCATTATCTGACTCCATTGCTAATGTACCAACGAGGAGACATAGCTCAAATCCTCACACAAAGATATGTTGCCTCTGGATCTAACTGTAGACTCTCTTTATGGTATTACATGGACCAAACTCAAGGAGCTTCAATTTCCGTAATTTTGCTTCATAATTCAAGAATAAAAAAAGTAATTATCTAATGATCTGATAAAACTTTTTGAGTATAGTACTAATGGTGCATTCAAAAAAAAAATTTGAATTTAATGAAGTTAGATGCTTCAATTTATCTAATTTTGCTCCGTAGTTCAAGAAAAAAATAACATGGTGGATGCTAATCAGGGCCACCTCGAAAGTTCTTTCCTTCTTTCGGGGCGGCCCTGAGCTAATACTTTTTGTTTGTGTATAGACCTTGCACTTATCTCAAAATTATTATAAAATTTAACATAATAGGAGCTTTAAACTAGCTCCATGCTCCGGCCCCCATTCTCAGTATTTTTGAGCTCTCGGAAGAAGTCAACTTTTCCCAGTTTCATATCTAAGTAGTTCATATATAAAGTGGAATGATTCATATATAAAAAAGTGGAAGTAAATTGGTTCATATATAAAAAAGTGGAAGTAAATCTTTTGTTTTAAAATTATTTGAGCTACTACGTGCAAAAAAAATCAAAAATATATTCTGCATTATTCGCTGAGTTCTTAAAATAAATCTTTACTTAATAGAAAGAAATTTTATGAGATTTTACTTATCCAAGAACGAAAACATATTAGGTTTCCATTTTTTTTAAAAAAAGAAAAATTTATTTACCACTAAACTTTTTGAAACTTTATTGATATAAGAAAATATTTCTCTGTAAAGTATTTATTTGTCGAAAAGTTCTGTCCGTAGGAGTACACGCCTTGTAATAAAAGCATTCGCCAGAACTAAGTAGTAAATACAACACCACTTTCTTATGGAGGGAGGCCTCTTTTCTATCCTTGTGTAATGGGGTGTGTTCTTTCGAGGACAGAATTTTTCGGTAGACCTAAAATTATATCGATAGAGAAATAATTACTATTAATCCAATATTTATCAATAGAGAGAATAAATTACTATTTAATATAATTATTGTGATGCAGATTAAATTTTGCAATCTTTAAAATCTCAATCACTTCATAAATTATTTAGCCGAAAATGGTGCACTTGGCATCCCTGATTGATCGAGTACAACTCGAGAAGAAGGAGATCACTGATACGAAGACACGTGGCCTAAGACCCCAACGCCAGCTGATCGTTTACAAACAAGATGGAAGAGTGGAGCTAAGTTTCTCCACATGAGTTAGAGTGTTAATTAACGTGAAGTTAATTAAATACAACGCCGTATCACTCATCAAATTTGTTAAAATATAATTATTTATAAATACTAATATAATTCTCGTCTACGTCTTATACTTAACTTAAATGCATTATTTGTTTATGTACTTCATTGTAACCGTGATGTATTTTTATTTCGTGTACTTGACAACTTCGATGAATAATTAGTTTGTCTTCGTGCCTATCTTAGTGTTAAGTAAGAAAAAACTGAAAGAATTGAGATCTTTTTTTAAAGAATACAGAATGTGCCACTCAATAAAATTGATACTTAACGGGCTTGGCTTACTGGGAATAGAATGGAAGAACAGTTATTAAAGTAAGAAGATGCCACGTTTCAACATCCAATCAGGATCGAGATACCCACACTACGTCATTTGCCGGTATCCCAATGAAGCAAAGTTTACGAAAGAAAACATTTTGTTGCATTTGATAAGATATGTAATACTAGCTGAATGCCCTGTCTTCTTAAGGGTTAAAAAAAGAAGAAATAATCACTAAATCGATGTATATCAACAATACGAAATCATGATTATGTCTAAAAGGCATATAATGGAAAAAATAGATAAAGTTCGCATAATGATTTATTGATTGATATGAGTGGAATCTCGGTGTTAAGCGCGAAGCGCTTCTAACCGATTCATCTATACTGTTTTAGCATTTAGTCCAGAGGTCATATACAGTTCAAAGTTCTAAGTTAGGATCAGATAATAAGTCCATGATGAGGTGAGGCATGAGTTGATTCAGTAGTACATCAGTTGTATGGGGAATTCCCCTAGATTAAAGTTGTGAGAAGATGCAGTACGTCTTGGTCCTTCAGCAAATCTTTAAGTTCACTGATGAGGCTAACAAGTCTGTGGGCTGTAGAAGAAGGCGTGTCCTTGGTCGTTTTTCTCTTTCGACTGGGACGGGCCTCGCACCCAGTGAAATTTAAGGTGTGGTTTTGCATGCAGTTGCAGCATTTAGCTGGGGAGTCTCGGCTCTTTCTGCACTGGAATGAATAGTGCCCTTCGGCACATTTCATGCATCTTGGGCTGGAGGAGCAGGAACGTTGGGTGTGGCCGAAACTCTGACATCGAAAACACTGCAGCGGCCGCCGGCCGCCGTGGTATTTCTCTATGCTGATCGGGATCTGCTTGATGCTCTCAATATGGTAGATCATCTCGTGATTGGCTAGCATTGGCATAACGATGAGGTACAGGGGGAGGGGCCTAAAGGCTTCACCCACTTTCTTCTTAAACTGGACTATTTTCAGGATTTCAATGTTCCGCTTCCCTAATTCAAGGGATATTTCATCTGTACTAAAATCATCAGGAAGGCCACGGATGAGGACTTTAGCATTTTTAACTGGCTGAGCTTTTTCTACTGAAGTGGAAGGCTCTGTGGCTTTGTTGGTAGTCTCCTCCGTAGGTTCTGATGCAGTAATAGGGGTGGGCTCCGGCATGAAAAGAGATTCCGGAGGAGTGCAGCTTTTCTGGGTCATGGATGGGTCAACATTTTCTGTAGCTGCGGCAGACTTTTTCTTCCTCTTCTTTCTCTTTTTAGCTGGTGGCTCTTTGTTGTTTCTATTTTGGATCTCAGGTTCAGAGGCTGATGTCTCTTCGTCTATATCCATATTCAAATCTTTACTGGAAGGAGTTGTGATATTATTCGGAACACTGTGCTCGGAAACGGGTTCAGTCTCTATTTCATTAGTAACACTACTTTCTGGGATGGTCACAGGGATTTCCGCTGTCTCAGTGATAGTTGTCTCCATTGTAGTTGAGGCAGTTGGCTTCTTTTGACTCGACTCAACAGTTTGAATTGCGGACACCGCTGCGTTAAAGAGTTCGTTATAATATCTACTTGGTGTTGAGGTAGAAATCTCTCCAATGGAATCTCGCAGATTACGAAGTTCCACGATATCAGTAGTTTGTTCTAGAAGAAACTTTGAGTAAAGTGCGTAGTTCATAGATCCGCCGCGGGCAGTTCGGTGATACGGCATAATTGCGGAGCAGAGAAAAACACGTCTTGTCTCTAGCAAGGCTTGAGCTGGTCTCTCCTCGGTACTGCCTGACCTCTCCCCACTCTCCTACCTACCGTTCGCATAATGCACACATAGTTTCCATATAACACATAGAGTCCATGAAATAAAGTGGATACTAAAAAATGGCTACTAGAGGTTATATTTAAAATTTATTATTTTTTTAAAACGTGATGCTCTAAATATTTTTCTCTGAAATTGCAAAAAAATGCGATATTTCATTCTAATGTTCTATGTAATTTATCTAGTATGAAACACTTTGGGAGACAGATGAAGAAACAGACGAAGAATGGGAAAATGCTGTTGTTGAGATAAAGAACCAGGAAGAATTCAGTGTAATTGTTCAGTGCACTTTAGGAGAAACTCATTTTAACAGCTTAGCTATAGATGATTTATTTTTCTATGCGTGTGAATCTCGTAAGTAATATTTAATGATATCACAGTCAATCTTCTTAGTGTTTGGATACCATAAGAAAAACAAAATTTATTCATATTCAATAATAGGTCTCCATGAGAGACAGTAGCTGCTTCAATCCTCTTACTCATGCTTTCCCCTAGCGTTATGGCTTGTGTCTTAAAAAAGACATTTCCCAGTTTTAGACAGTCATTGTACCTCTTAATTCAGCAATTCATATGATCCTAGGAATTCTCTATCGGGTTTAAATCTAAGTACTTGACAGGGCAATTCCTTCCGCTAACCCCATTCTAGAACCGTGCTGACTCAGGGGACAGGAGTTTCACCTTAAAATGAAGTGAACCGGGTTCGAATCCCAGAGATGGTTGGTCGATATGAATTCCGTATCGAATTCCTCTTGCACCAACCACAGTGCTGACGTGGAATATCCTCAATTGTTGACGGATCATGGGTTAGAATCCTATTGCCGTCAAGCTAACCATGGGAGGTTTTCGTGGTCTTTCCCTCCGTGTAACGCAAATGCGGCTTAGTTCTATCAAAAAAAAAGTCTCGCATGAAGGCAAAATTTCGCCCTATCCAGGAGTTGCCGTTTTTCCTCATTGGGTTCAAAATTGCAAGGCTACGGAGTTGAACATTAATAGTCGTAAACCCAAGAAATTGGGTCGGCTGTTCAACGGCGGCTATAAAATAAAATGCTAATTCATGGGCGGATCACGCACCATGGTAGCTAATGATATCGTTCTGGATACAGTGAAACCTGCCATGTTGACCACTCTTGTAAGTTGGGCACCTGCATAAGTTGACCTCAATTATCAAGAACGGAATTTTTCCTATATAATATAAAGAAGCAAAACCTTTGTAACTTGACCACCTGTCTATCTTGTATGTTGACCACTGAAATAAGTCAATTTTGTCTAGGAGTATTATGAAATTCTATTCTAAAACCCTCATAAGTTGACCAGAAAAAAAAA